GGTAGCTTGAAACGGATATTTTGATTTTGTGGGAAGCTCAACATTTTCAATATTTTCTAAAAATTGGCTCCAAATAAATTATTTAGCTTTGCCCTCTGATTGCAAGAGGACTCTAAAAAATGTCCTGGGTTGATATATCTGCAATTTCAAAATTCGCTAACGTTTAATATTTTTTTGGCCTCTTTAAACAACTACGATATTGAAGATAGATATTTATTATATAATCTGTTGTTCAAAGTTATATCGTGATACAAGGTCAAGATTTTTCGAAAATATGAGCTGTTTTCGCGTAAGTTTCGTAAAATTTCTATTCTTCTGAATCGTTAATTTTCTTACTCTTTTCACCTACTTTCCATTCTGCTCGACTTCGCCTTTCCCAGTGATTATCTTCGGTGACTGCGAGGGCGAAATGTTTCCTTCGCTTTCGTAAGCGACGTTTATTTCTGCGAGACTCTGCAGTCACTTAGAGAATCGATTGTGCTTTCTGTCAAGCGAGTCCAGCTCGCTTCGTCGCCGAACGCACCGCAACGCTTATCTTGGACAGAGGCCAAAGCGTAGGGACGCAGCGCAACCGATGGACTTCGCTGCACGACTTGGTCGCGCTGGCGCTGGTATTGTGGATACCGAGAGCTGCCTACCTGAAAAAAAGAAAGATCCTGTTTTTTGCTTTCCCTTGAACTTTGGATTTCGGTATGCTCTTAGAGATAAAATATTTTTGAAAAATATCTGTATTTGCCTTTAATTGATTCATATATCCTATCTACACACCAAATTTATAAATTTTGATAATTCTTTTTGTAAATGAATCACAAATTTTTGTGCCAGAGAGCGAACTAGAATTCTAAAGTTTCTAGGAAAACAAATCAGGATTTGGTTACTTAATAAAAATAATTGTTTCAAAGTACATTTTGGATATTTTATTTCATTTATCTGAAACCTTTATTGACACATTAAATATTCTAGTTCATTCTGTAGAGCAAATCATGGGTTGCAAGCTGTGAAAAGAATTGTATCATTATCTTTTATGGGTATGATTTATGATGTTTGCTATGCATGAATATATTGAAAATTCTCAATACAGGAAAAATTCATCTGAAGTTCACTCACTAAGAGCTTGACAGTTGACACTTGCTTGGAAACAAAATTGCTCAAAAACAAATAAATGTGGAAAGAAATTATTTGAAGCATTTAAAAATAATCTAACAGATCACAAGACTCAACGAAGATTGAAAAAGATGAAATTTCACAATTTCTCATCGTTTTGAGGCGAAACGTTACCTTCATAGTTGTAGGAAAGGTGAAGAGAATTGGGTAAAATTGGGGAAACTATTTAATTTTGATGCACCGCGAAATCCTTGACATTAGAACCCTGAGAGAAACAGGAGGTTTTAACAGTCACTTTACCCCTTCCATCGAACGAAGTGGCTCAGGGCATAGCCTGACTTCACGTTCCGGGTTCAATCCCATGCCGGCCATCCTGACCGGGTTTTTCGAGGTTTCCCTCGGTCAATCAGGCGAATGCTGGGGTGGTTCTACTGAAAGGCCACGACTGCGAAACCCCCGTGAAGTCGCTCTCCTACGTGAAGTCACGAAGGTTAAGCGAATTCGAGACATCGCGGGTTCCTGGCTGGGTGACCGACTACGAACCCCCGGATCTAAAGGAGCTGACAGACCAAATGCCCTTTACGGGATATACAATGGCCTAATACAAATACATACAAATACCACTGCCACTCAAGCACAAGAAGAACATCAATGGGTCAATAGCAGGCCTCCAAGTAAATTGAAATACAATTGAAGAAAATTTTATATATTTAAGAACCAATATTTCATATGTTTATTGATATGTTACAATAATTTTATGCGCGTTTTTTAAAAATATTTTCGGGTTTCGAACCATGGCTAGGGCATAAATATTTTAAACTAAGAAGGCCACGTCGTTTCTTTTTTTTAAGTAATAGAGATAAACAACGGCTTTTAGTAAATTATTTTATGTTGAATCTATCAGACCTCACCAGTGAATTTACATTATAATTTTCACCAGCAGAGTAACGGCAACACTACGTCAAACGCACGTTAAATAAGAACGAAAATGGAGTCTCCTTTCGGAGAGGTGAGCGTGGCCCACCAAAGAAGCCCGGTAACGCACCGAGTGCATAAAATGGGCTCAGAAATAACAGTAACGATCGGACGCGCATTTGCTCGATGCTGCCGCGAGGGGCCTGGCGCGGCGCCAGAGCAGCGGTGCACCGCCATCAGGGGGGGGGGGAGGAAGAGGACGCGGCCAGCACGCAGGATGACGGCGGACGAAACTTCTTCGCGATGGATGCCCCGCTTTTAACGTCGCCGCGCTCTCGCACTCGACAAAGAGCTCTGTAATTCTTCGGGACTTGGCGTTTCTTTTGACTTAAGTGTCTCGTATTGCGGCGTAATTTTGGACCGTTTGCCCTGTTCTTGACCTCCTGCGGATGGAATTTGGTTGTAGTTGGACGTTCGTGCGTGCAAGCTCTTGGTTCTCTGTGACAGCATTGGGTACAGTATTGTACTGGATCATCAGCGGATGTGAATTGGCTGTATTTATGCATTCGTCTTTGCATTATGTTGGTTGTTATTATTGATTCATTGAGGTAATATTATACGAACCTGATCGTACCTGACCTTCAGTGAATGAAAATTGGCTGTAGTTATTCATTCGCGTTTGCTTATTGTTGGTGTTTCTTTGTGAAACGTCTTAGTAAAATGTAATGATGTAAACCTTTTTTGTTTAATATTGTGAGTTTTCAGGCTCATTGGTACGTGTTTGAATGTTCCCGCATACGAGATCTCTTCTTTCCAATCCAAAATCTAATTAAAAGTATTATGTAGGATTAGTTTTATTGGATTTTAACTTGGATTATATACGATCGTATCGAAGTTTTGCTTCCACATATAACTTTTTTGAGACACATCTAGCCCAACTTTCTCAGTTAAATTTTAAGACTTTTTTATCACATGAATAGGACTACGTGTCTCATTAAAGCCTACAATTTATTATGATGCTATACTTTTCATAGCTTCGTAAACCGTGCGTCCTAGGTTCAAAATCGTCACAAAGACCAAGGCCGTATTCAGGTTCTGTGGGGCTCCAAGTACAAAATGGTGTTAGGGTTTTCCCTTAAAAAAACCAACTCTACAAGTTTAATCAAAACATTCAAAATTGAATTATTTTTAATTTACAAACGTTTTAGTAGATTAGACAAGAAGTTAATTGAATATCACTTAATTTACTAATACATATTTTATGATTTTTCGAATATTAAGCCATTATGCAACAAATTTTAGTTACTTTTTTTAATTGGAGGAAAATCCGGCACCTATAATAAATTTTCCAGAATTCGCACGTACTCAGAGTGATTAACCATTCAATCTAAATAAGTGTTCCTGTGTTCGTCTAATAATTACTCATTTCCAAAACTACCAACGGAGGGATAGCTGGCCTTAGTTTCTTTCCTCTTCCTTTTCAACTTCCACACCCTCTTCACAGTATCAACACGCCAAAAACAAACGCATTTACAGGAAAAAACAGTCAGGAAGTTTATGCTACACTGAATTATGGATGTTCCTGCTAGATCGTGGTCGCGTAGGTTCAAAATGTTTTCTATATGAAACACACAAGGGTGCTAGCGCTAGAACACAGAAGTAGCCGGCTCCCCTGTCAATTCCCGACTTCTCCGATAATTATCTTCGCGATAATTGTTGCACAAAGAACACTAGAATAGACTCTGAATAATTCAACAGTGTGCACGCGGTACGTTCACAAATGCGTGGGCGTTGCGTTGACTCAGCGCGGCGTCCTCGCTCCTGCGCACGCGCGGCTGATCCCTGTGATCGATGCAGATATCGATTTATCGTCGCAAATCGCAACGTCCGAGTCAAACATGGAACTCAGGCTACTAGACTCTGTGAAGGAAGGGTGTGAGTTTGTACCTCCGTTGGAATCAGCGAACAGGTTTGCATCTGCTCTGAAATTACTGCTCAAACAGATACGAGGCATATCGACTTGTGAATGGAGATAATTTGACGCGTATTCGAATTGACATTTTTTAGAAATAGCGTGAAAATAACATTTCTTCTGCGCACGTTGCTCGTGCAAAGCGTGATAGTCATGATTGGATCAGCCATTGTGTTATGTATATGAAACTCTTCAGCTCTTATAATCCAAGAATGACTTTGCAAAGTAGAGAATTCCTCAAAATTGTCCTAATTTATTACTCTATTAAATTACTCTAGTTACTATAATCGAGCAAACCTAGACAATACCACAGACTATTCGGTTGCAATATGGTGAAGTGGAAGTTCCAGAGTGTTATTTTGTCACGTTCCGCGAAAGACATCCTTAATTTTCTTTAGATTTATTTTAATTTTAGAATATCGTTTGGATTGTATGTGATAACAACATAAATTTTACTTTATACGAAATAAATTAATGGAAATTTCGGGATTGGAATTGACACTTAACGAAAATGTTAGCCCTCCTGAAGGTTTAATATTCCCTTTTGAGATTTTTGACCTTGCTGATAATTCTTAGAGCAATCTTTTGAAGATAATTTTGGGTTGAACTCTACAGAAATAGAAGGCGAGAGAAAGTTTGTGAACGCAGACCGTACGTCTGCACGCCGTCTACCCTTTGCCGCATCGCCGCTCGGGAAAATTCCGACTTCTCCCGTCATTCCGATAATGGCATTTTGCGTCCGGTGGCCTACCTACGCCTCGCGCGTGAAGGGCGGGGGGAGGCGTGTTAGAGGCCAAAAATACGTTCTCTCGCGGAACCCACCGCAATGGGCGCGCCCAAGCCCTCTGAGAGCGGGGGCAGGAGTGGGGGAGCTCGGCGGGGCGGGATAAAGCGGGGCAGAGAAGAGTGTGGCGGATAGGGATGTGCGCGGAGGTGCGGGATAGCGTGGGGCGGGGCAGGAAGAGGGGGCGACCTTCGTGGGGGCAGCGGGTTGCGGAGCGAGAAGAACATGAGGAAGAGGAATAGCGAGGGTGGGGAAGTGCGTTGCAGGGCAGAGGGAGGGGTGGCAGTGTATGTTGGAGAGAGAGAGCAGCAGAGATTGCTTAGGGGCAACAAGGGTGGGAGTGGGACGTGGAGGGGCGTGTCAGGTGGGGGACGTGTGACGGAGAAGCGCATGGCGTGGCTGGTTCTTGAGTGGCGGGGTGGAAGCGGGCGAGGAGGGTCGTGGCGGGTGGGGTGGAGTAAGACGGGGAGGAGCTTGCGGGGGGAGGAGCCGGGCGGAGTATTGGCGGAGGGAACGGGGAGTTGTGTGGCGGGGGCCGGGAGAGCAACGTATGTGAAGCAAGGTAGTTTTTGAGTGGGATGGCGCCGGAGCGGAGAGAGATCGTGGGCGGAGTGGAATTGGGGCGGGGAGAGGCTTCTGTGGGGGTGAAACCGGAGCGGGGAGGGGGCGTGGCGGGGCGAGACTGGGCGTGGCTTACCGAGCATGCAGTGGCGCCTCGCGCGAATGGCCGGGCCAATTCTATTCCCGCTGAGGTGGTGCGCGGTCCTATTTTGCACGAGATATTCGTTCACAGCGCGAATGATTGAGGCAGCGGTGAGTTGGAGGTGAAAAGTTGAGTGAAAGGACGAGGCGACCGGCGATGGGGATGAATGTGAAGATGACGCGAGCAAGAGTTGAATGGAAGAATTTGAGTTTAATTTTGACAATCTTCGTGGCGTTTTTAGCCGCAGTGGTGAGTTAGTAGATGAAATGTTGGGCTGGATAAGTCGATGCAGTAGGAACGCGAGTCAGATGAAAGGATGCCTGTGAAAGGAATGGTTGCTGTGGCCAATTACCTAAGATATTCGGGGAAGTAACAGATGGTGCGATCGCAATGTAATATGATAGGAGGAAAGGATTGCCGAAAATCAATATTCTGCTCCATGCGCAAAAACAAAGTGGATAGCATTTTTTAGTGCATAGTATTGCAGACTGTTGCATAAACTGTGTTTTGTAATGTGCCTCTTTAAACAGTCTTATTGTGTAATATCTGTTAGTCGGTTTAAATATTTTCTAAATTTAAACTCAGTATCCATACACTTGATGTCAAGAAAAAATTTTGCAACTAAACTTTTCTTAGATTGTTCCCTTTTCTTAGTTTTTTTTCCGCTTATCTGCATTTTGACATGGGGCAGGCGAAAATGGTTAGGGTAAAGATGGTGGAAGTTTAAAGAAAAAAATATTTTGCTGTCATTTTTTTTTTGTGGGCAAGAAGCAATGATTTAAGGGGCAGTGAATCCAAGGAGAAGCAAGTAACATTTCATTACATATATCTGAATGGGAACGGGGTGGTGGATCATTGATATGGGCGTACAAAAACTGTGAACGGAGGTGCTGTATAAGAAAAATCAGTTTCATGATAGAAGTAGGAGACGTGGTGGTGACTCAGATTGAGTTGTTTTGGAAGGGAGAAACCTGGAAAGATATGTTGGCAGGTGACAATGTAAAAGAATGGAAGTCCAAGTAAATGGAGATAGGAGTGTTCGGAAACGTAACAGGGACCCACATAGAAATGTTATTTCCCTTTATTTTTGAATCTTTCTTTCCCTCCTTTTGACGTAAGAAAAGTTATTTCTAATTGTGTGGCCGGAAAAAGGCGAATTTTCGACCACACAAAATGTATTGCCAGGCCCCAATAGGGAAGTGGAGTGGGAAAGACTAGGTGCAAAAGACGTTTAAGAGAAATGGTACAGTCTCATTTTTACTAACATCCCGATTTTTGGGAAAAACATAAAAAAAAATAAGCTCAAAAATTGGAGATAGAGATTTTTGAATCAAACAAAATTTGTTGTACAAAATTAGCTCTTCAAAGTAGGTGAGGTAAATGTTTTTTTAAACGAGGTATTTTTTTGCGTATTAATAGTGGATGAAAATAAAGATGTAGAAAGACTCTGCGGTGATGAAAGGAAATAGTGGATAAAATAGTACATGTGATAGTGAAGGCACATAACGGTGACATACAAGAGAAATATAGTTTGGAAGTAGTTAATGATGAAAGGGGAGTTAGTTGATGTAAGTGAAACGTTAGAGGAAAGCATTATCAAGAGTTTCGGAAGTGATACAGGATCGAAGGATACGATGTTGTATCGATACAGTTATCGATATAATAATGAGCAGTATCAGTATCGGAATGATATTGAATGAAATGAATTTCCTCCCTGATCATTACACAGTATATGTAGTAGGGATTTTAGATGTAAAATGGGGGTTAGTTGAATTATGCAAATAATATAAATTGTCAGATTAAGAGAAGTAGCCATGTCTCACACTTAACAACGATGGACATTACTTTATGTAACGTAGGCCTATTGCCTGGTATCGTGTTAAACTACCCGTTATTTGCTTGTGTTATATTTTTAGGGCTCAAACGACAATTTTTTTACTAAATGCATTCGCTGATACGAATTATTAAAAATTGCCGGCTCGTACGTGTAACACATCCATGTTGATCTTGTCCAGTTACATTTGGCTTTGAGATTGCGTTATTACCAATGTCAAAGGCAAGTTTACTGTCCGCGTTTATTTTGTTGCGTTGCAAATTGTGCATGTGCATCCAGTGAAAACATTCTGAGCACGTTATGCGTGCTCTGGGGAGACCCAATCTTGCTTCGCTCTCGCGAGGAGACATTTCATGCTCTCCGCATTGTCGCCATGACTTTGTGTTTTATTGTCTGACCGAGAATGAATCCTTATGCACATTGCACTGAGAAAGATGAAGTTTGGCAACCTTTTGTATATTGGTGGG